TTGCAGGCGAACGCACGTATATATCTTAGAGCCGCACCGCACCGATTTTACAAACAGATGGCGGCCCTATTGTTTTCTCATGCCGGCCACGTGATCGGCCTCGCTTGGAAAGTTGCCCCCCACCACCACTGCAGCCTAAGATAGATGTGCACTGATATAGCAAAATAGAAATTTGTGGCAATCCGTATTTTAAGTAGCGAGTTGGCGTAAGTAATATGTAGTTACGATATGTCAGTATGTAGGGCATTCATACTACAAACAGTCTTGCTATTAACGCTGTGTAAAAAGGTCTGAATTAATATACGAATGGCGATTGCTGGTTATATATCACACACGCATGGAGTCTAATTAGGCGCCTCATTTTCGCTCGTGTTACTTAACTTGCGGTAACAATGAGCAAAATAAAGCGCAATTTGAATTCCATACTTTTATATATGACAGAGCAATCAGCCATTCGATAGATCATATGAGAATAATCGTGAACACAATACAATATAATCAAACACGTTTTAATTCATTTTCGCTAATATTTAGTGATAAAATCCGATAAATTTCGTGTTAATTTCAATAAAAGACCTGTTGCATTGATGCTCTGATATAACTAGGTATAGGTCAAACTCCACGACAGATGGCGCTCTCGCTCTGGCTCAATTCACGAAGGGGGTATCTCACTGATCTCTATAATATATATATATAGAGATAGATTATATTATAGAGATCAGTGGGTATCCTGAGTTGTACGAGTGGGCGCTGCATGCATGCAGTTTGGGTATATAGTGTGGTAAGCTTCCTTGAGCTCAATTCACTGAGTTGTATTGAAGCGAAAACACGCTGGCGATTATTTACCGTAACGCAAATGTTTTTTTTACCGGCGTTTGGGTTTGAATGTTAGATTCTTGCTCCATGATGTCAGGTGCACTGAATATTGCAATCGAAACGGTGGCTACGTTTGTCAATGTCATGCTCGACCGCGTCCACTAGCGAGGCATATTGAAAGTGTAATGGGCCTCAAAGAATGCCACCAGGATGGCATCTGGTTGAAATTTACCTGTGTGCACACGTAGCCTACTTATGCTCACGAAGTCAGAACGAATTTGACATCGAGTCTAGGGCATAGATGGTGGGTGTCGGAAAAGCCTATAACGGCAGTATTTCATCCCTAATAGTACGAAAAGCAACACTAAGATAGCCGTACGTCGCCGTGAAACGAACATATCCGATCAAACGCCTAACTGGGAACATGTGAGTGTGAGTGTGAACGCCCGGACTATCATATATAATATTATATTATCAGTTTGCGTGTCATGCGCTCAGCATTACGTAATATAGAAACATAAAAATATAAATGGGCTATCGCGTACCGCTTCGGTTCATACTAAAAGTATTTCACAAATTGCATTTACGGGATTGCTTCTCGTATGTGTCCGAGCAATAAACGGAACGGCGTATGAAGGCGTTAGGAGGTTATGCCGCTCAACTGTTTCAACAGCTGTATTTCTGAGACGGGTCATCGACGAGGCCAGAGTACTTGCGTGAGCGGTCCTTGGCAGACGTGATGTCATAAACATTATGAGATATAATTATGTCGTTAAAAAGAGCGTTGAGCGAAGCACCGTGTGTAACGGGCAACCCGCGGGCGAGTCATCGACGGGTTAGACGCGGCTGGCGTAAAGAAATATATTACTTCACCGGGTGAAGCGACGATAATGCGCATGTAAACGTATTATAATTCACCTCTCGTGTATATTTCACCGCGCGAGGGCGCACTTTGCATACAGATGTATTCTGACTCTTGACGGTGCGTAGGCTACCCGCGGTATATGCACTAACGTGCCACTCGGGTATATGTTGTGATATTGTAGCCGTTCGCGTGTATTCTCAGCCGCGCAAGGGTGAACGTACTCGGCGCGATCTACCATTTATGTCGGCAGCGACTACGCGCGACGGGGTCGCCACGGATTGCCGTTGATCCTCATAGCCGAAGTAAGTCATATTATATCCTGTTTCTTATAATCTATCGTATCTATCTATATATAATATATCTTATAAGCAACATATATATATAGTATATATAATATATATACCTATATACTACTATATATATATATATAATAAATCTAATAAATATATATATAGACGGACAGAAGACGGGCGGGTGGACAGACGGTATTAGGTAAATGTGTCACTGTGTGTGTGTGTGTGTGTGTGTGTGTGTGTGTGTGTGTGTGTGTGTGTGTGCGTGCGTGCGTGCGTGCGCGCGCGTGCGTGCGTGCGTGCGTGCGTGCGTGTGTGCGTGCGCGCGCGCGTGTGTGTGTGGGACCCACAGAGTTAGGGTTAGGAACAGAGTTAGGGTGGGTGTTACCATCACGACAAAGCGACTTTTGCGAATTAACAAGCAGAGAAACAGCCACAGAAAATCCTCATGCGACCGAATGAGTGTGGGCAGAGGCAGAAATTGACGTAAAGAACAGATAAAAGTAATCATTTATTTATTAAACGCAAAATATTATGACTAAATTTTACATGTCAGCGTAAATAATGATGTGACAAAAGCAACTCATGTAATGTAGGCCGGCACGCGCGCTAAAATGAAACGTGCAGTTACACGTATCATCTATCTTACAAATTTTTATAATTAATTAAGTCCAACAAGTTAGTGATATTCATTTGTTAGATGTGCCGTCATAACAAAATACTAAATTTGTAATCTGTCGCAGGTACATTAGCCTAGTATATGAGTAGTTACGATATGTCAATGAATTTTCAGCGAAAATAGATTATAACGTGTTGATATGTGTATGTTCACGATTATCCTAATGTTGCATGTCATATTTGGAGCAAGTATTTTTAACGCAGGTGAACACGAAGTGATCATTTCCCGTATCTGATGTTACGGCGGCGTTTGGGTTTGATTGCCTAGATAGATGTGCCTGCATATACAAAATAGTAAATTTGTGATCCGTTATAAGTACATTGGCGTAGTATATGAGTAGTTACGATATGTCAGTATATAGCATCCAGACTACAAACAGTCTGCATTAAGCGCTGGTAAAATCTGAATTAATATTACGAATGGCGATGCTGTCATATATAAACGATGGAGTCAAATTGGCCTCATTTTCGCTCGGTGTTACTACTTGCCGGTAACAATGAGCGAAAATGAAGCCAATTTGATTCCATACTTTATATATGAGAGAATCGCCATTCGTATAACATTGAGATAATCGTGAACATACATATATCAACACGTTTTAATTCATTTTCGCTAATATTTAGTGATAAAATCCGATAAATTTCGTGTAATTGATGCAATTTCAGTAGACCTGTTGCATTTTTGCCGGCCTTTCGATTTGGCGCACGGATCAGAAGCTGCCAGCGCGTGATACTTTCGTAGGACGTTCCCGCGGTCGCGTGCGCCTTGCCGCGGAACTGCGCGCAAGATTCGCACTTAGCGGGCAGGATCAACACCTCTCAGGCGACGCTTCTCTGGTATCCGGTCTCTCATCTGGGTATATGTCAAACTCCACGACAGATGGCGCTCTCGCTCTGGCTCAATTCACGAAGGGGGGTATCCTGAGTTGTACGAAGGGGGCGCTGCATGCAGTTTGGGTATATATGTAGCTCCTTGGCTCAATTCACTGAGTTGTATTGAAGCGAACACGTGGCGATTATTTACCGTAACCGATGTTACGCGGCGTTTGGGTTTGAATGCTAGATTCTTGCTCCATGATGTCAGGTCACTGAATATTGCATCGAAAACGGTGGCTACGTTTGTCGATGTCATTTCGACCGCGTCCACTAGCGAGCAGATGAGAGCGTACTGGGCCTCAAAGAATGCCATCAGATGGCATCTGTTTGAATTATGCCTGTGTAGCACACGTAGCCCTTATGCTCACGAGTCAGACACGATTTGGACATGGGTCAGGCATAATGGTGGTGTCGAAAAAGTCTATATACGGCAGCCAAGTATTCATCCCTATATACGCAAGCAGCACTAAAGATAGCCGTACGTCGCCGTGAACGAAACAATCCGATCCGACGCCTCGGGACATGTGAGTGTGAGTGTGAACGCCGGACTATCATATATAATATCAGGAGTAGATAATAGAAGATCTTCTATTATCTACTCCTGATA